GGGGGGGGGGGGGGGGGGGGGGGGGGGGGGGGGGGGGGGGTGAAGCAAGGAAGGGGCCGCAGGACCCTCGCCTGGAGAAGCCCAAGGCCCTCCCCGTCTCCCCCTCCCCCGGGGAAGAGGCAGCCGGCCCAAAAGGGTTGCAGGGGCGGGGGAACTACAAAGCCCATCCGCCTGCGCGGCGGGGAGATGCCCGGGGTGGGAAGCTGGCAGCGCTCTGCTGTGCCTTCCCCGGCCAGGAGAGGTTTGGGCTGCAGCCTCTTCCAGGGAGGAGGACTCCGGTTCTCTTGACCCCCCCCCACCCCTGGGCCATGTGGGTTTTTTGGGGGGGTGGGGGGGGGGGGGCGGCTGGTGGGTCTTCTCTCCTTCCACCGGCTCGCTGGGCGCAAGGACTACAACTCCCATCTGCGCCCGAGCCTGGGGGAAAAGACGCTGCAGCCTTGAGGGTGCTTGGGGGCGGGGTTGCAAAGCCGGGCAAAGGAGCCATTCTCAGGCTGCTGGGCAGCATCCTTTGCCCGGCGTGCGCACGTGTGTGTGGCTTTCACGTGTGTGTGTGTGTGTGCAGCCGCGTGTGCGCGCGCGCGAACGTGTCCATGGTTCCTATGTGGTCACATTGAGATGGCTTCTGTTTGAGCATGACTCGGTCATGGGGGGGGGGGGGGGAAGGGGTCCCTCTGGTGCGGGGCTGGGGGGGTCTCCCCCCCTTCCCCCCTTCCGCTTCCCTCCCCCCCCCCCTTCCTCCCCTCCCTTCCCCCTTCCTTCCTTTTCTCCTCCCGCATCAGCGGGGCTGGGGGGGGGGATATCCCCTCCCTCCCCTCCCTCGCTGCTCATTTCATAAACCAACTAGCTAATATCATTAATGATCCTTCCTTCCTTCCTTCCTTCCTTCCTTCCTTCCTTCCTTCTTTTTACTTCCCTTACTCTCATTTCCCTTCCTTTATTCCTTCTCTTTTTTCCTTCCTTCCTTCCTTCCTCCATCCATCCATCCATCCATCCATCCATCCATCCATCCAGCATCAGCAGGGATATGGGGGAATATCCCCTCCCTCCCTTGCTGCTCATTTCATAAACCAACTAGCTAATATCATTAATGATCCTTCCCTCCCTCCCTCCCTCATCCAGCATCAGCAGGGCAATAGGGGGGACAGCATCCCCTTTGGATGGCTGCAGCAGTCGGCTTTTGTCTTTTCTTCCCCCTCCTCCTGCCAGCTGGTGGGAGCCCTTTCTTCCCCTCCCACAACTCCCTCCGCCACCTGCATGCTTGCCAACGCACGACCTCCCCCCCCCCAGCCCGAATGGCGATGGCTGTGTTTTGTGTGGCGGCTGGGCAGGAGGGAATCCGTTTGCCCGCATCCTTCTGCCGACTTGCAGGTAGAAGAGATTCACGGTGGGGAGGAAGAGCTGCTGCGGTAGTTGCAACTGGCTCCTTGGGCTTCTCTGCAGGCTTTCTTAGGCATTGCTTGGGCGGGTTAAGATTTCTGCAGAAGATTTTACATTTTATTGGTGGGGAGGGGAAGGAAAGAGTCCCAAAGTTCTTGAAACTAAGGACAGTTGGTAGCAAGGGACAGCAGGGTTTCTCCCCAGAAGCACATGGAGGGAACTTAAAGCAAGGGAGCCGGGCAGGAAGTTGCTTCTTTGTGCTGTGAACCACAGCTGAGGTTTAACAGAGCATGGGTGAATTCCCATGTGAATAATAGGAAATATGGCCCTTTCAATGCTGAGCACCCTTCCCTGTTGGCCATGGGGACCTGGGTCTTCAGAGCTGCAGTTCAGCAACATTTGGAAGGCTGCAGCTGCTGAGTCCTCTGTTGGGTAGATTAACAGCAGCAACCTGTGGTGGTTACACAGAACAGGTAGTTCTCGACTTAGAATCACAATGGAGCCCAACATTTCTGTTGCTAAGTGAGACAAGTGAATTTTGCCCCATTTTATGACCTTCCTTGACACAGTGAAGTGAATCGCTGTAGCTGTTCAGTTAATGACAGGTGGTTAAATGAATCTGGCTTCTCCCCTGACTTTGCTTAAAAGGGCATCGCATGACTGCGGGACTTTGCCACGGACATAAATAGGAGGCAGTTGCCAGGCATCAGAATTTTGATGCTGCAATGGATAGAAAATAGTGTGAAAACGGGCCCTAAGTTACTTTTTTTCTGTGCCGTTATAACTTCACACGGTCCAACTGTTGTAAGTTGAGGACTATCTGTATTTATTCCAAAAGGCAGCTGTGATGGGAAGTGTTGCTACAGCATTTATAAACATCACAGCAGCACAATGTGAGGTGTGTTATTTAGAAGTAAGCTCATCTGCATTCAGTGGGATCTACCTCTGTAGAAGTATGGACAGGGTTTGTCAAATCCAAAGAATAGGAATCTTACTTCTTCTGCATCATAAAAGTTTATAAATCCTATACATGTGTAATTTATCTGTGGGTCATTCTTGTTCAACTCATTGAAAAATGTGCTGTGAATACCCACGTGCAGGATGGCGCTTTCATCTAATGTATTGCAGGAAAATAAAAAAAAATGGGTCAGTGTTCGCTGGCAGAGCACTGCCATTTCGGTTTCTATATACATAGCTAGGATAAAAGAGAAATGATTGAACCATGTCAAGTAATGTAAATTAATTTGCAGTAGCATGCAGGAAACAAATTAAAATGGAATCCAAACAAATAGAAGGCCAAAGAAACAAGATTTCTTAATTAGCAACCATTGGTAATGAATTGACAAAGCAGTAAGCGCATTAGCCTAATCTGAACAGTTAATTTTTGCATAAGGTGCTCTGTTTTGTGGTTGTTGCAGCTGCTTTGTGATTTGGTGATGAGTTTGACAGTTTCACACCAGAATAATCATTCATGAAAGAGACTGGCATTTTTCAGTCTTAAAATAGACCTGTCCTGAGCAATTGAGATAGAGTCCTTGAGAAAGTTCACAAGCAGGGTGTGATGTAATTAACATAGCTTTTGTGTTGTGGTGGTCCAGGTATTTTTTGTTACACTATGGTGCCTTTGAACTCACCTCTTTTTTGTTTGTTTGCTTTTGCAGGCAGCAGATACTCTGGCAGTGCGGCAAAAGAGACGTATTTATGATATTACAAACGTCCTTGAGGGCATTGGACTTATCGAGAAGAAATCGAAGAACAGTATTCAGTGGAAGTGAGTAAGGGGCGGGGGGCGATAGAGAAGCCCTGGCACTATAGCTTCCACAGAAGGGACTGCAATTGCATTCACTGTTAACCACTCACACGTATGAATCAGAGGCAGAACAATTTATCCGAACAGCTGTGGGGTTTCTATGGAATTTCTCACTTCTCAGGTCATGGGTGTCTCAAAGGTGCTTTTTGAAAGGGCAACTGGACTTCCTTTGTTTTTATTTGAAGTCGTTTCGCTCCTCATCCAAGAAGCCTTTTCAGTTCTGACTGGCTGACTGAATTGAGTCAGAACTGAAGAAGCTTCTTGGATGAGAAGTGAAATGTCTTCAAATAAAAACAAAGTCCAGTTGCCTTTTGAACAAGCACCTTTGAGACAGCTGTGTGTGTGTCTGAATGTTTTTCTGAAGCTAGCTTTGGAAGAATTTTATCAGTAGCTCTGCTGAGTGACTGTGTGTGCGTGTGTGTGTGTATAATATACACATACATATATACATTTACATCTACATACATACAGGAGTGATAAAGAGGAAGTTCAGTCCTATTGCTTTGACCAGGTACTTGATCTTCCAGGGATGAGAATTTTTGAGACTTTTATTAATGGATTTCCCCACCCACCCTCCCCCCTGGGAAAACATAATGCAGAGAAAAACTTTGAAAAGGATATTTGAGTTCTCTCCCGGGTGCATTAAGGGTGTCACTGAATTCTCTTTGGAAAAGATAGAACTAAAAGAAAAACCCAAAGGCTTTCTTCTGCAGGCAGTGTGTGTGATTGAAATGATCATTGATATGGGATTCTTAATACACTGTGAAAAAGGCTGATCCCTTGATTTCGCTTGTTTTTCCCGTTCTTGTCAGAGGTGTGGGGCCTGGCTGTAATACCCGAGAAATTGCCCACAAGTTGATTGAGTTGAAAGCAGAGATTGAGGACCTGGAACATCGGGAACGAGAGCTGGAACAGCAAAAGATGTGGGTGCAGCAGAGTATCAGGAATGTCACCGATGATGTACAGAACAACGAATATCCTTGGCGTCTACTCTGGTTCTTCCCGCTTTTGGGTTTCTTCGATGCTCAAATGCAGATCCTTTCTGGCGATTCTGCTCTGGCCTAGCTTTACAGTTCTACCTCCTGAATATTTGGGATGGCAGTGCCCAGAATTTAGTCGTTGGCTGGGAATTCTGGAATTTGTAGTCTCAGAGCGACTGCATCACCCATCCTTATATCGTTTATGCCAATTTGTGTAGGACAATTTTTTTTTAATGCACGCTGTTTTCTGATAGAAATGTTTCTAGGCAGGTAACCTAATTTTCATAGGATAATAGAAAACAGCTAACATCAGATTAGAAAAGGCTCTTTATTCAACTGTCCTAATAGCGTGAAATAATAATGTTCCTTGTGTTTCAAATTAGTATCCTTTTTTCTCATCCGTGCTCTGGTTTTTCCCTAGTCTGTCCTTAGATGTTTTTCCTGTGTTGGTGGCCTGTTGGTATATTTCCAGTGGAGAACCACAGTGAACAATACAAACTGGTTGGGCTCCAATTTTCCAGGATTGGTGGTGAGAGTTTAGGACAAAAGGAGGATTAATTTTTAACAGGATTGAGACTTGTATGCTACATTTATTGGATGCATCTATCTTGGAATGGCAGAAAACTACTGCTGATGTTCAACAATCCAGATTGAGAGAGTTCAATCCTAGGCAGCGACAGGTATTTATCAAGACACAAGAGATCAATTGCTGCGAACTCCTCATAGGCCTCTGGAAGGGCGTCTGGCCAGTAAATGCTCAGTTCCATTTAGCCGCCCTGACTCCACCCCAATAAAAAATGGGATTACAGGATCATGAAAAGAAATAAAAAATACTATTGGGAGGGAAGGGGAATGATCCTGCTGAGGTTCAGAGGCAGCTGGTTTTTTCCCCTTAACTTCAGGAACATTAGCGTATGTGACAGACGAGGATCTTTGCAAGTGCTTCCCAGGTAAGGATGGCGTGTCACTTCATCAGACATGATATTCTTCCGATTAAAATCGGAATTCCGATTTTTGGGGGAATCGCCGCGAGCGGAGCCCGGGCAGGTGGGCGGGCGGTGCGAGTGGCGGGCGGTGCGAGCGGAGCCCGGGCGGGCGGGCGGTGCGAGCGGAGGGCGGGCGGGTGGTGCGAGCGGAGCCCGGGCGGGCGGGCGGTGCGAGCGGAGGCCGCTGAGTGGCAGGAAAAGGGAGCTGGGCAGCGATTTCTTGGCGCGCGGTGGGGTGTCTCTTTTGGCCGGCCCCGATTTTTTTTTCAGAGGGGAATATGCCTGCTTCATCCCTGCTATCCCTGCCTGTTCAATATAATTCCACCCTTGCAACATCTTCGCAAGGAGTTGGTCCTTCTCTGGATCAACTTATCTTTGATGTGCCTTTCTGGGTAGAATTGGGAGTGTGGGAGATGGGAAGACAGTTCCTGGCAATTAGGAACAGAAAACACTGCCCAGCTGGGGTTAGGAAAAGCAAAGAATGTGTCATTTTGTGTTGCTTAGCTGTTTCCTGAATGCAGCATTTTGGTTTCTTGTTGCAGGCGACACATTGCTGGCCATCCGAGCTCCGTCAGGAACCCAGCTAGAAGTTCCTGTCCCTGAGGTGGGTGTAGATGTTTGGTGATGCTAGCAGAGGGCTCACCCCAAGAAGTCAGCATGCCAGCAGCTTCAGTGACCGAGGGCCTTTTGCAGCCAAACATATTTGACAGGTTGCAAGCAAAAAGAGGGGAAAGCCCTCTGCAGAAAAGTTACCAATCAAAAATGGTACTCCATTAATATTCAGATACGTTCAAGAGCAGTCTGACATCGCTCGCTCTCCAGGGAATTGAGATGCAGAAAGAAGAGAAGAAAGGAGGGGAAAGGATACCAGGAAGAAGAAAAAAACCAGCGATGAAAAAGAAAGCAACTCAATAGTCCCATCCGCGTGAAGTCTTTTGTGGGTTATTCCCAAGGGGAATATTGCTGTTGTAGAAATATCTATTTGGCTGGTGGAAAGATTTCCCAACAGGAGCAGCATTAAGAGACATGGACTTCCGACTCCCAGAGTTGGTTCCCCTGGCTGGGGAAGCATGGGAGTTGAAGTCCTTGCATCTTAAAGTTGGGAAACCCTGGCCTAAGGGGGCTTAACGGATTCCATTCTGTACGGACCACATGTTCAACTTTCCTAGGGTCTCTAGTTAAAAACAATGGCTAGCTCTAAGGTGCCTGGAACTGTACTGAGCTAAGCTGCCTCCCATTCCACTTGGTATTATAGGCTGCTTTCTCCAAGAAGCGTCTGGCTGGATGTGGGGCTCAACGAATTGAGAAGGGGCTTCTCCTTTAGTGGTGACGGGAAGGTTTGGGGTTCCCCTGTCCGTAGAGAACACCTGGAGAAAGAATTCCATACTGACACCGATGGTTTCCTTCCAGTCTTGTGATGACACCTGATGACGCCGTCGCACTAATACCACCACCGTATACCGTTCGTACAGTTGCGTCCATGCAACCTCTCTTTTTTTTTCTTTCTCTCTAGGGCTTAAACGGCCAGAGGAAATACCAGATCCACCTAAAGAGCAGCAACGGTTCCATTGATGTTCTTCTAGTAAACAAGGATGCCTGGAGCTCTCCTCCGGTGGTACTTCCTGTCCCTCCCCCGGAAGACCTCATTCAGTGCCAGCCAATCACTCCCTCTAAGAAGCCATCCGTTCCCCCGTCCCAGGAGACCCCTCTTCCCAGCGGTGCCAACCCTCCTGGGTCTGTGCCCAGCAGCACACAAGACCACAGGCCCTCCGTGCCCCAATCGGCCGCCGTGGCAGGTGAGCTTCAAAGGGACGAGGGAAAAGCACAGCCTTCGTTAAAGTTTAAACGCCCATTTTAAAAGTGGGCCAGTAACTATGCTATTAACGTTTGCTGACTCAGAACTTTGGCTCCCAGGGTACCTCCAGGAAGGCGAGGCTGATCCTGATTAAATTAGGTTAATTCTGCAGAAACAAGAGTCCCGTGAAATCAAGGACCCAATTTGGGGTCCACTTTGTCCTTGCCCTGTTTTCCTTGCCCTTGTATAGCCTTTCATCCTCCTTTGAATCTCTGCTACAGCCTGAGATGAAAAATCACCTCATGGCACATCGTTTCTTAGCAGGAAACATATTGAGCAAAAGGTTTGTTGTGGACCTTTCCTTTTCTCCAAAAAAAGAATGGCATCTTCTCCATAAGGTCCCTTCCAGCTCAGTTAATCTGTAATTCCAATATGCAAATATCCTTTCTGGCCCTGTTTGCAATCAGACATATTCCAGGCCAGGCATCCCAGGGCATGAAAGATTCCCTGGCCCCCCCTCAAGATTTAGATGGCAAACCTCACATCAGAAGAGCTGGGATGAGGTCGGCTAATCCTTCCAGAGAGGTTTTCTTGGAGAAGGGACAGAATTCTGCTCTAAAAATAAAAAGCACTCATTTTGAAAATTGGGAATGTGGATGAGACAGGAACCTGTTTAACAGCCCTGCTTGGACCATCCCTGGCACTAGAAGCTTGGCAACAGGGCAATGACTATCAATACGCCCTACCCTTAGCTGCCGTAGAGTAATGGGAAGGTGCTAACTGGGGGGGTTTCTTTACAAGGCCGGAAAAAGCGCAAAGGGCAGCTAAGATGATCAAGGGCCTGGAGACAAAACATACGAAGAATGGTTGCAGGGCTTGGGTATGGCCAGTCTAGAGAAGAGAAAAGAAAAGGACCAAGGGGAACGTGACAGCAGTGTTGCAGTATTTTAGAGACTGCCACAAAGAAGAGGGTATCAACTTATTTTCCAAAGCACCAGGAGGCAAGATGACAAGCAATGGATGGAAATTAACCAAGAGGAGAGGCAACCTGGAATTAAGGAGACATTTCCTAACAGGACAATTAACCAGTGGAACAACTTGCCTCCAGAAGTTGTGGATGCTCCATCCCTGGAGGCTTTTAAGAAGAGACTGGACAAACACTGAATCTGAAATGGTATAGGGTCTCCTACTTGAGCAGGGGTTGGACTAGAAGACCTCCAAGGTCCCTTGCAGCTCTATTGTGATGGATTGAACTTAAAAGTACTTTTCCTGACGGTTGCTATGAGCCTGCCAGCTGCATTCCCCTAGCTGTGTGGAATCCCATCCTACATCATAGGTCAGGGGTGTCCAACCTTGGCAACTTTAGGACTTGTGGACTTCAACTCCCAGAATTCCTCAGCCAGCAAAGTCTTCAAAGTCGCCAAGGTTGGAGACTCCTGCAATAGGTGGTTGGGTGGCATGCAATCTTAAACCATAATTTATCTTTCTGTCACCCTCTTCTCATCATCGCAGAGACAGGCACCTCGACAGCAGAATCAAAAAGCAGTGTGGAGCTGGACTCGCTTACCCCTTCGACTGTACCGGCCAGCCCGCCAGCTGGGCTTGATACGCAGCCCCTCCAATCCTCAGCCTTGCTGGACAGCAGCTCTGTCTCGCCCAGTTCCTTTACCTCCTTCGAGCCAATCAAGTCCTTCCCCACAGAAAGTAAGTGCTCTGGGTTTCCAGCTATCGGGTGGGCGGCTAGGATGGATCCAAACTGACAGAACCTGAGTTTGTTTGGCTCTGACCTCCTGCATTGTACTTTGATGCGGGGTGTGTGTGTTTTTTTTTTTAAATTCCAAAGTCATCGGGTGTGTTTGACAGTCTCTACTGGCTCCTTTTCGCAGACGTTCTTCTAAAACAAGGGTCCCCAAACTTGGCAACTTTAAGACTTTTAACTTTGTGGACTTCAACTCCCAGAATTCCTCAGCTAACATGACTGGAGGAGGAATTCTGGGAGTTGGAAGTCCACAAGTCTTAAATCTGTCAAGTTTGAAGGCCCCTGTTCTAAAACGAAGCTGAGCTAGAGGAAGTGGGATCAACCACCAGGAGAAATGAACTGTGCAGATCGTGTTTCCCAGCCAGGACAACTTTTAAGCTGTGTGGACTTTTTTAACTCCTAGAACTCTCCAGCAAGCATGAATTCTGGGACTTGAAGTCCGCGCAGCTTAAAATGATCCTGGCTGGGAAACCATGGGTATTGACAATGGGAATCTTCTTCGAGTGACATAAAAACAAGAGCTCTTAGCAGACTGCAGTTACTGGAATTGTATCTTGGCCTTTTCCCTACCTGGGCTCTTGAATACGTTGGAATTACTGCTTCCAAAACTCCTCTCTCTCTTCATATGGGGAATGGCAGCCCCCAAACATCTGAAGGTACTTGGAAACAGAGGTAGCCTCTGCCACAATAATTGCGTTGGTCTTTAAGATGTGCAACCTTTGTTCTTTTTTTTTTTTTTTCCAGTACTGGAATTTCCCAAAGAGCTTTCAGAAATGTTTGAGCCAACCAGAGGTGCGTTGCTAGTTGTCCCTGTAGCAAACCTTGTTTGTGCTTTGCCTTTTTTTCCTTTAGAAGTTCAGAAAAGTCAGACATACCGTTTCGCAAACTTGATTAAGGCCCCCCAGTTGGGCCCTTGTAGAATAGCAACAGAAGGAATCGCTTTTCTTGGCTTGTGCTGGTTTTCTACTTTTAAGGGCGACTTTCAAGTGCTGGACGATGAAAACATTTAAACCTGTTTACTGCAGGGACATATCAGGGGCATTTCATTTGGTTACCTGCGTAAACCAAACCCCCCCTGGAGAAAAGAAGAAGCAGCAGCTGCTAAAAATGCATTGTTTTGATGTTGCTCGTGCAGGAGCCTGCAGAATCTGCCCTATTACTGCTTATGTAGTCAACCGAGGAGCGAACTGAGACATGAGACAGAAGAAGCTGGGCTGGAAGGATTACCCCATCTCAAATTTGGGGCACTGGGTGACACACTCACATATTTTGCAAGCACGTAAATGTCTCACACCTTCTTCTTCCCATAGAGTGCATGAATTCGGAGTTGCTTGAAGAGCTGATGTCCTCTGAAGGTAGGACTGCATTTCTTCCACTCCCAGGTTTGGAGTGGAGGCCACATCAGAAAGCATAGAAAACCAGGGAGCGGGCCGCTGTTGTTTTTTAGTCGAGCATGGCCGGCTGGGGGGGATCCTGGGATGTTGTCGTCTTAAAAGTTGCTGAGGTTGAGAAAGGTTGGGCTAAGGGTTGTGGGATTGCTGTGTCGGGAGAGTCCCCCGCTTCCTAAGGGTCTCCTTTTCTCTCCCCCACCCCCGGCAGTGTTTGCTCCTTTACTCCGCCTCTCCCCGCCTCCCGGAGACCACGACTACATCTACAACTTGGATGAGAGCGAAGGGGTTTGCGACCTTTTCGACGTCCCGATTCTCAACCACTGACTTTGACTGCCTGGATGGATGGACTTTGGGATACGGATTCTTCCCCCCACCCCCCTTTTTTTATTTTTAAAGAAACTTGTCTCAAAGGAATGTGGGGGAAAACCCCAAACTCTTCATTTTGGATTCTTTGTCCGCTAGTGCTTGACTGAAACACAAGAGCTGCTCTGGTCTAGACCGAAAACCAATAAGGACGAAAGTCTCGTCTCCAGCTTTTTTTTCTTTTCTTTTCTTTCCCCCCCTCTTCCCTGGCTTAATCTTGGTCCAGTCCTTGTCCCTTCACGGATCCTGAGCGGGCCTCCTTCCCAGGCACCTGCTGTCGAATCTTGCCGAACAGTAAAAGCGCTTCCTTGAGTCCCCTTCTAGCCTGTTTTGGCATCCCTGCACTGCTGGGGGCACTTTGCATCTCCCTCCCTCCCTCCTTCCTTTTCTAATTACCAACAGGACAGCCAAACCGGAGCCAGGTGGTTTGTGTGTGTGTGTGTGGGGAAATCCAGCCCCGGCCTCTCTTTTGGCCTCTCTTTTGGCTCGTTCATAGAATTCAAACGATTCATAGAATTCAAACGATCCTCTCTTTAGCAATTGTCTGCTTTGGGCATGATGGAATGTGGGCCTCTCAGCCGATCCCTGGATCGGTTTTTTTTTTTGTTTTTAATGTGCTTAGAAGTGGCGTTTCAAGTAACCCTCCTGGTGCATCTTTTCAACACAAAGCACGAAGCCCTTTCCCCCCCTGTAGGTTGCCTAGACTTAAATCGTGTGTGTGTGTGTGTGTGTGTGTGTGCCCGTGCGCGTTTTGTTTTTAAGGTGCCAGTTTTGCACAGTCACTTTCCTCCAAAGAGTCAGAACTCCCAGATGATTTTGTTAGAAAGGAGGTGTGCAAAAAACAAGTTGGGACTTCGAGCAGGTGGGAACCTGCCTGTTGTCAACCCAAAGCTTCTTTTGCACACACCCGTCCTGGGTTGCCCCCTCCCCCCCCCATCTGCAGCTGTGCTGCATCAGGAAGGGAAGAGCTGGCTGGGACTAATTGGGAGGCTTGCTTTCTCTCTCAAGCCCCCCCCCCTCCCCCGATGTCTCCGTTGGGACCCTCCGATGGAGGAGATTTAGTCACAGCGAAGGGAGCCTCCCTGGTGTGTCCTCCTCCCATAGCTGCTAGAGTAGGGCTTTTCGGGGTGCGCTGTTTCCCTTTGCGATTGGCTAGACGTATTACGTTGCCGGTGCTGTTGGCGCAGTCCGACTTCTCTTTGGAACTTAAACCACGGCGTGCCCTTTCCCGCATTTCTCTCCGACAAGCGCACCCTCAGCCTCTCCATCGGGGGCTTCCCCTGATCTTGAGGACATATGGAAGGAGCCCTCGCTTTCTGCCCCTCCCCAATCCTGCACTTCCGAACACCTTTCCCCCCACCACCCACCCCTTGAAAGCCATATCCATTTTCCACCACCCGTCGGCCTCGTGGGTTACACCGCGTGCAAACCCCGGAACCTCAGCTTTCCTGATTCCTAAGACTGTCGCAGGTGCCGAAGAGGCGCCCGCCTCCTTGCAGTGGGGCTGGTCGGTCGGGAAGGGTTCCGATCCGAAGCGGGGGGAGCTCTCCCACATCGCAGCCCTTGAACTGCCTGGCTGAAAGAAAAAAAATCTCCTTTTGAGGGGACTGAATGAATTGTGCTACTTAGAATTGTGGAAGGATTCAGTGTGAGCGGGCAGGCCTGACCCTGATCTCCCCTCCCTTTCCCTCCACCCCCCTGTAATCAGGGAATGTTTCTATTTCCATTAGGGAGACCGAGGCAAAGCTGGGTGTCTCAAAACTTGACAGATATAAGATGGGTGGACTTCAACTCCCAGAATTCCCTAGCTAGCCATACTGGCTGGGGAGTTCTGGGACTTGAAGTCCACCCATCTTAAAGCTGCCACACCAAGGTTGAAAACACTGGGCTTAAAAGATCCACAAAAGCAACTTTTGTGTTTTTCCGGGTAGGAAATCGAGATTTAATAAAAAGAGATTTTCACCTCTCCAGCCTAGGAGCATTCGTCTCTGCCTCCAGGTCAGGGGTCTCCAACCTTGGCAACTTTAAGCCTGGAGGACTT